TGAATTTATAGGTTTTTCTTTAAACATCTAGGTTTTTGTTCTTCATTCCGGGTTGGTCTTGTTGGTTTGGATCTCAAGAATACCGAAAAAGAAAAAAAACCCATTCCTTTTTAGTCTTTGTGAATCCTTAATCATCATAAAAACAAACTTCCAATTGCACAATCCTCTCAAGTTCCAGTTCTAGGAGCTCATCATGTCATCCTTACTATCCCAAAATCAATCCAATCTCCAAAATCTCCTCTAATCTACAAGCAAAGGAAAATTACAAAACATTACAATCTACTCTACCATTACTACTAAGTCTCGGTTCCTATAAACATAAACAATACAATAGTCCCAACATAACCAAAGTCCTCATTTAAGCCTCATATTTATTCAGAATCACCAAGTACTACTTGTCCATTTTTATGTTTCATTTGTGTTAATTCATTTCTAATTTTAATTTATGAGTTTTCATAGCAACAAATAAAATAGGTTAAGGCGAGTAGTCGGGTAAAGGAGAAAATGTAAAGATTTCTAATTGAGGGTTGTTGGAGATCAAATTCAATAAGAAAGGAATGAAATATTTAGTTGATACTTCATTTGAGGAATAAAACAAACCAGAGGGGTCAAGAGTTTAGGAACAAGTGATTTGTTTTGCTAAGTTTGTTTTTAGGCACTAGAGAAGAAAGATGAGAGATACGAGGATTTTGGGAGATTTAGATCGAGTTGAATGAGGAGAAAATAAAAAAAAATCTATTTAAGTAGTGATGCCTAGCCCAAAATGAGGGAAAAAAGAAATAGCCCACGTCTAGCCTAGTTTGAAAAATAAACATGAGTTAGACTGGTGTTAGCCCAATCAGGAAGAAAAGAAGAAGAAGAAGAAGAGTTTTCCCAATTCGGACTTGGCCCAATGAGCCTAAAGGGCTTAATCATCTTATTTTCAACCTTTTCTCCTAGTGAATCATGCCCAAATTTATTTTTAATATATGCTTTTATTTTCATGCATAATATAAATTTAATTTCTTTGAATTGTTGATTTATTTGTTTGTTCATTTAACTAAAATATTTAATTAGTTACATTCGATGTTAAAAATAAGGATGGATAATTAACGATGAATGAATTGTTGAGTCTTTTAATTTTTAAGAATTGATGACAATTCCTCACCAATAATCAATAATAAAAAGATAAAAAAAAACCAAACCAATAGAAAAATAATAAGTAAAAAATAAATATAAAAGAATAGGAAAGGAAAAATACTAGGCAAGGAAATTCTTAAAAAAGAAAAAAAGAAAAATGCAACAAAAAAAAAAAAACAAAGAAAGGAAGAGATCCCTTGGTAGAAAAAAGAAAAAAGAAAAAAATATAATATATAAAAAAGGAAATATTAAGAAAAATAAAAAAAAGTCTCCTATCTAATAGGGATTGTTGTTAATCAAATAAAACACTTTAGTAATTAGGTTATTTTCTAACATACCAATTATATCAAGATTTAAATTGGATCCGATGTTGAATTGACATGTCTCCCGACGAAGGGGTCCACGGATCAATTCAATAAGGTGCCACAAACAAAAATATGAAAATTAATTTGGCTTGTAAGATAAAAACTTAGAGTTCAAATTTAAAATAATTTGACGTCAATAAAACCAGTTTAGGAGATAAATTTTTGGACTAAACTAGATATGATATATTTCTTATGGAAAAGGTGCTTTTGTGTAATTGATATCTTCTAAAAAACATAACTCCTTACCCTAAAATCTCTAAACTAGTACTCATTTTAGGTTCATAGTTCCTTTAGTAATAGGTGGCGACTCCCTAACTCAATAATAATCTATACTCCTAGAATAAATAAAAATAAATAAATAAAATATCCTTAAATTTAAAATTTTTTTAGAAGTCCTGTCGGACATCGGATAACAACATTGTATTTAAAGTAGCAGTTTCCGGACATTTTATAATTTTATAAAGAAAATTGAGAAATAATATCACGATAAATGTCAACATCGACCATTATGAGGGAAGATCAAAACAAGGAGTCGCCATCTAGCTAATTGAGGAAAACTAGGAAACCATAAATATAATGATCCATGTGAATATCCGAGTAAAGGGTTGGTTATGTATGGTGAAGATATGACATCACCACCATCCCGTCCTACCTAAAGCGGACTACATTGTTTGCCTATGAATATAAAAATCTAGCTTTATTATGTTATATACTTCTATGCCAATTTCAATGAATTTATTTAGTGAAAATATGAGACAAGATGGGTCGGGCGTAAAGTAGGATAGTTTGGCATTCGAGTCGATCTAAGGCTAATAGATGCCCTACCTAGATGGGGAAAAATGAAAAGGAAAAAAAAAGATGAAATTTTGGCTAATCATTAGCGAACATGACCTATTATCGATAAATAGGTGAGTTTTCAAAGATAAATAGCCTTTTATTGACATGAGTCGTGAGTCACCAACGACTTCGCTCACACAAGTGAGAAGCCACCGACGACTTCACGTCATGCATTTAAGAGTTACCGGCAACTTTATCATAGAAGTGGGAAGTCATTGACAACTTCATGTCTCTCAAGCGAGGAGCTAATAATTGTTTCAAAAATCGATAACGGCTTCATCACATAAGTGAAAAGCTACGAGTAGCTTTATTTCAAAAAGTATACATTAAATAAAAATTATTTTGAAATCCTCTAACGACTTCGTCACGTAAGTGGAAAGTCAATGACTGACTTTGTTTTGACAAAATAAGCAATAAAACATAAAGAATAACAATTAGGGATAAAAAATGAGAAATAGGGAAAACGAGCACTCGCAAAATAGGAATCGAGCATAAAAATCAATAAAATTACTCTAAAGCCCTCCGACAGACTTCATCACATAAGTGGAAAGCTACCGATGACTTCATTATATCATTACAAATAGTCATGGATAAAAGGATCATGCATCCTATGGAGGTGCGAAATAAATAAAAATTTTCCTCTATCTAAGGGCCCAAGATCATGTTGTTGAATATACTAATCATACGTACATGAATAATAAGATAATAGTAAAGGATTACCTCTTGTAGTGCATATTTAATTCCTTTTCTTTGATTAGCCATCTAAGTGTCGGGTCTCTATTGATGATCCACGCAGCCCAAATATCCATAAAAAAGCACTCAAAATTGATGGGGTGCTAGAAATCAATCCTAAACAACTTTGCGACAACCTTAAAGGAGAAAGTAAGAGTATTTCTTACTAGGGTTTTAGGAGAAAATTATTTTCTCTATTTTTTCTCTCTTGGCCGTGTGCCCTAGATTATTTTAGAGGTCGTGCGAATTTCTTCCTTTTTTTCTTTTTTGCCAAAATTCTCTATTAGGTTCTCCTCCCTTTTGCCGCCCCTCTCCTCCTATTTATAAGGGGAGAGTTTCCTTGTCCTCTAAGGATAAGGAAAGTGGTAGCCTTGAGTCCATGAAGGACTCTAAGTTGTTGCTTCCTTATCCTCTAAGGATGAGGAGTTATTTTATATATGGACTACTTGATTATTATCTTTAAAACATTCATTCTCATCCAATAAGGTTGATGTTTATCCTCCCACCAAAATTATCTTAAGGCTTATAATTAAACTTAATGGGCCAAAAATATTTTAGCATAACTAATTTATTTGGACTATACAAATAAATATTTTTAGATTATTTTGACACGATCCACCTTAGGAAATAATTTTTAAAAATACCCTTTTAACCTAAATTAGGAAACTCCTTTCCTTTTAGGTTCTTTATTTTCAAATTTGAAACTAACTTCCAAATTAGGAAATTGATTTCTAAAATAGGAAACTTTCCATTTAAAGAAACTTTCATTTTGAAAACTTTTCATTTTAAGAAACTGTTCATTTTGGAAACTCTTTCCAAAAATAGAAACTTTTTCTAATATTTTTGCTTCTCATTTGCAATGTGAATACTTGAACTTGTGCATGTGACTTAATAGACTCGTAAATATGTTGGCAATGTATCGGGAATAAAAGACTCCTCTTTCATCTCTTAATATATAAATCAAGATTGACCTCTAGTAAGGCATCATGACTACCCAATTCTCTAGAAAGATTAGTTAATCCATTATTACGTTTCACGAGCATGGTTACCATACAATTCAGTCCTCATGTCAACTTATCACAATGCGATCTCAAACTTGGTTATTAGTTTTGTTTGATTATGATTACACAAGTTTTCTTTGATTCCCAAATGTCTTAGCTCTTAGAGTAAACCAACAATGCTCTATTAGTGTATTCCTAATGTGGTCACATATTTCTTGAGTAGACATTTATCAAAGTGCAATGTGATAACTCCTTTAGCATACAAGGAATGACATGTCCTATCTTAGTTATACACCTATCTCCATTGGACTCCTAGTGCACCCAACGAATCACCCACGTGTAACCCATTAATGGGTCCATCGAAATGAGTGTCAAAGTGCATAAGTACTCCAATGAGATAACCGTGATGACTTCAAGTCGAAGGACCATTTGTACCTATCTTGTATGAGATTCCTATAGACTAAAACCAAATGGGTTATCATGACGAGTCAAGTCCAGTGATATGTTCTCTAACATAAATCACCTAAGTGCTTACTTTGGCATCACTATACTAATAGGTATGAGATCTCCTACTACTATCAAATAGCATGAGCATAGCACTCACAAGTCTATCCATATTTTATCAAGTCCATTCTTGACAATACTACGACTTGGGACATTTAATGATATCATTTATGTGCATTAGTGTTTATCTCATATCTTTTGATCAATCATAATTGCAAATGTATATCATAAGGACTTCTATCTAATTCTATTGAAATTATCAATATGTAAACATAAGAATTAATAGAATGACTTATTTATTATTATTAAAATAAATGCTGCAATGACATATTAACATAAGCCCATCCAAACATGGTTGGATCTTGGGCACCAACACTAACAATGAAAAGTTAATTAAATCATAAACTTCACATTTAAATAGATAGGAGTTCGGGGCACCGACGCACCGACGAGGCATTAGCAAGGGTGCTCGGAAAAGGTGCTCGGTGTGCCTGGGGAGGTGCTCGGTAGAGGTAGGCGTGCTCGGGAGGAGAGTTGTTGATGCGCGCCGAGAGCACCGGCTCGATGGAACCGCATGAGGCACTAGAGCGCTCGGAGGCACGCACGTGGGGCTATGGCCTCGTAGGCCGCATGAGACGTGGGTGAGAAGAGGGCAAGGAAGATGAGAGCTGCTACGGGCGTGATGAGGCTTGGCATTGAAGAGGCGTAGGCGCACGCGATCTTGAGTTAGGGTGCTAAGCGAGACTAGGGGCTACGAATGACTATCGTGGCATGTGCGAGCATACGTGGACGATAGGGGAGGCCCGCCGCATGTACGGAGGGCGGGCGCGCATGGAGGAGAGTTGCTAGCCCATGCGTAGAGCTATAGGTAGGCTATTGCGTGTCGGTGGGTGAGGTGGCTTGTGAAGGAGCGAGGGGTGAAAGATGCTACAAGAGAAGGGGAAGCAAAGGGCGAGGTGCGAGTGTAGCGGGAGGCCCTATGAGTAGGGAGCCGGCGTGTGAGGAGGTGGCTCGCTGTCGGTGAGGGAGGTCGGCGACTAGTTCTTTTTTAAGGTGATGAATAGTAGCTAGTGAGTTTTGGGAGAAAGGGTTGTTTTTATACTAGGTTTTTACGGTTTTTTTGGCAAAAATCTATTTTGGTCTCCTATTTTACAAACCAACTTTATTTTGATTCCTTTCTCCTTTATTTTTTAATTGCACATGCCAATTGCATTATTTTACCTCCTTTTCTTTTCTTTTTTCTTTTTACCCCAAAATTGGGTGCTAACATTAGTCTCTACTAAAATAATAATGATTGAGTCGTAGTACATCCCAATATGGTAGTACTAGCTCATAAATATCCATATCTAATGGTCCAACTCTTTGATCCATTATGGTTATGTAGATATTCTCCTTTGAAGCTACCTTCCTTCCTTTTCTAAGCTCTTCTTCATTTCAAAAATATAAGCACCACATTTAGTATCATATACTCATGAGGTAGAATTTAGGAATAAGAAGGATTAGCATTAATAACATAAATACCGAGGTGGTGGTAGAATTCTTCTTTTGCACCCTTTCTAGGTACTCCTTGCAGTTGCGCTTCTAATGCCCCTTCTTGTTGCAATGAAAACAAACCGCATCCTTCGAGCTATTCCGAGTCTCGGCCTTTTTCACTCCTTCGGTAAGTGCAATTGAAGACTTTTTCTTCCTTTTGGGCTTTTTCTTGCCCTTTATTGCACCTTTTCCTTTATTAACTAGAAATATAGAGCTTTTGTTCTTCTTATTAATTTTAGGTTGAGCTTCCCTTAGAATGGATAATAACTCTCTAAGAGTCTTTTACATATGCATCATGTTGAAGTTCATGATGAACTATCCATAGTTATTGGGCAATGATTGGAATACTAGGTCAATGGATAATTCAGCATCCATTCCAACTTTAAGTTCGGCCGGTCGATTGATATAACCTATCATTTTTGTAACATGTTTTTCAATATTGGATCCCTCATCCATTGTGGCACTAAAGAGCTTCCTTGCTATCTCATAGCGCTCATGCCTAGTATTCTCCTCAAATAAGCTTTTAAACCTTGTTATGATATCAAAAGTTTATGAGCTTTTGTGTTAGCGTCTATACTCCAACGTCATAGTAGCAAGCATGATGCTTTGAGCGAGTGATCGCATCATCTCTATGTTTGATCCATGTTTCATGAGCTTCAACTTGAACCAAAGGATGCTTATCCGGAAGGGCTTTCTCTATCATATAGAGAATTTTCTCATGTTAGAGGACTATCCTCAAATTCATTTCTCGGTCGAGGAAGTTTGTGCCATTCAAGGCATTACTTCCATCAATGATCGATCATATCAATGTGTTGCCAATCATACTATACAATCCGACATGATAGAAAAGCGTATAGTTTGGTTAATTAAATTACATAAAACTAAACAAAGCATAAATTAAAGAAGTAAAATCTATGTTTGCTCCCACTATTTTCTTCAAGTTCTATAACCTTTAATATAGTACCCGAGAAAACTTTTCAATTTGTTTCCTTAGTGGGTTAAGATCTCATCCTCTAACATGCATTAGCCTTGAGTTATCTCAACAAGCCAAACATGCAGGACTAGGTAGGTAAATCCTTACCAATTACATCTAATGTAATTCCTAATTCCATTGGTATGACAACTCTTTGTCCTTGTCACATCTTATATGAATACCAATCCTTGCTTACAAGTTTATTGGACCATGAGTTATCTAAAAAAACTCAACAACTCATTTAAGTTAGACCCAATGTTCGGGATCATCGCATGGTCTATGATTTGTTTCCCTTAATGAAGAAATGATCTTGAGTTATCTCAACAAGCCAACAACGACCAAGAGAGTTCCCGCCTCATAACATTAGAAAGCATTTAACTTAATATTTTATTTGAAGGATTTAATAAGGTTGGTCTCATCCTAGCATGCATACTAACAATAATCATATTATTCTTAATCATGCATACTAATAAAGATCTCATCATATTCATATATCTTATGTATGACTAAAGGACTCATGAATGGTAATTAATTTCTAATACTAGCCCCCTCGAGTCACAAGGAGACTAGTGGGTCAATTCCTAGGTGAAAAATTATTATAAATTCTTCATGAATGTCTTCATTCCTTGGGGTCTCCTCCTTGTATCTATTCTATTCCCTATCTTCTACTTTTACATTCATTCAAAATAAGAAACCTCGAGTTACATTTGATGGAAGTGAGATGAGAAAAGAAATACAATAGAGTAATAGAGAAGGCAAGAAACGCGAGTCTTACCATCCAAAAAAAAAAAACCAAGCATTCATAAAACTAGGTTGACTCATCCATACTTCAATCACATTAATACATGGCATACTCATGAAATAATTTCATTCTTAAAATGATTATAAATCTATAGTTTTAGTCATTTTATAAATTTATCAAAATTTCTCTAAATTTCAATTTTTAAACTTTTTGGGCCTATCTCATTTTGTGCCTAAGGCTTTTGGGCCTCTAGGTTTCACGAGTTTCGAGGCCTAAACCCTCGAATTCATGTGCTTCGCTCACGGTACTTAACATGCACACCGAACGCATGACACGGCGAGCTCCGCAGTCGCCCGGCGCATGCTCGGGCACGCATTTGGTAGGCCAAGCCACCGCCACGTGCCTAGCGAGCCGGCGGCTTACCTGCTACACGCTTAGCGCACTATTGGCGATAGATTTGCCATGCACGCGAGGTTGACGTCCAACGTCGACCTCGCGTGCTCTTACCGATTTTGACACAAAATTTTATTTTATGTTTATATACATTACAAAACATAATATTTATAATTAGACATGTCATATTCATATAGTTAATCATAATTAACCAATCATATAATAAAAAATTCAATGGAGGCTCGATACCAATTGAAAGAATCATGCATCCTATAGAGGTACGAAATAAATAAAAATTTTCCTCCATCTAAGGGTCGAAGATCATGTCGTTGAATCTATTAATCATACATATATGAATAATAAGATAACGAGTAAAGGATTAACTCTCATAATAGAGATTTAAATTTCTTTTCTTTGGTTAACTCGTCTAAGTGTCCGACCTTTATTGATGATCCACACGACCTAAATATCCATAAAAAAACACTAAAAATTGATGAGGTGCTAGCTCCACCTTTTCGATTAAGTATTTCCTTTATAAATCAATCCCCGGCAACTTTGCGACAACCTTAAAGGAGAAGGTAAGAGTATTTCTTGCTAGGATTTTAGAAGAAAACTATTTTCTCTCTTTTTTCTCTCTTGGCCGTGTGCCCTAGATTATTTTAAGGGCTAGCCAAATTTTTCTCTTTTTTTTTTCTTTTTTGTCGAAATTCTCTATTAGGTTCTCCTTCCCTTTTTTTCGCCCCTCTCCACCTATTTATAGAAGGGATATTTTTCTTGTCCTCCAAGGACAAGTGGTGGCCTTGAGTCCATAAAGGACTCTAAGTTGCTCGATTCTTTATCCTCCAAGGATGAGAAGTTATTTTATATGTGGACTACTTGATTATTATCTTTAAAACATTCATCCTTATCCAATAAGGTTGATGTTTATCCTTCTACCAAAATTATCTTAAGGCTTTTAATTAAAGCTAATGGGCCAAAACTATTTTAGCTCAATTAATTTATTTGGACTATCCAAATAAATATTATTAGATTATTTTGGCGAGTTCACCTTAGGAAATAATTTTCAAAAAATACCCTTTTAACCTAAATTAGGAAACTCCTTTCCTTTTAGGTTCTTTATTTTCAAGTTTAAAACTAACTTTTAAATTAGGAAATTAATTTCTAAAATAGAAAAATTTTCATTTTATGAAACTTCCATTTTGGAAACTTTTCCAAAATAGGAAACTTTCATAATTGAAAACTTTTTCCAATATCTTTGCTTCTCATTTGTAATGTGAATACTTGAACTTATGTGTGTGACTCAATAAGCTAATAGATATGTTGGTAATATATCAAGAATAAAAGACTCCACTTTCATCTCTTGATACATAAATCAAGATTGGCCTCTAGCAAGGCATCATGACTACCCAATTCTCTAGGAGGATTAGTTAATCTATTATTACCTTTCACGAGCATGGTTATCATACAATTTAGTCCTCATGTCAACTTATAACAATGTGATCTCAAATTTGGTTATTAGTCTTGTTTCATTATGATCACAAAAGTTTCTTCGATTCCCAAATGGCTTAGCTCTTAGAGTAAACCAATAATGCTCTATTGGTGTATTCTTCATATGGTCATAGATTTCTTGAGCGAGACATTTATCGAAGTGCAATGTGATAGCTCCTTTAGCATACTAAGAATGACATGTCTTGTCTTAGTCATACACCTATCTCAATTGGATTCCTAGTGCACCCAACGAATCGCCCATGTGCAACCCATTAATGGGTCCATCGAAACGAGTGTCAAAATGCATAAGTCTTCCAATGAGATAACTATGTCGACTTCAAGTCTAAGGACCATTCGTACTCATCTCGTATGAGATTCCCATAGACTAAAACCAATGGGTTCTCATGGCGAGTCAAGTCTAGTGATATGTTCTCTAACATAAATCACCTAAGTGCTTGCTTTAGCATCACTATGCCAATAGATGTGAGATCTCCTACAGGCTATCAAATAGCATGAGCATAGCACTCACAAGTCTATCCGTATTTTGTCAATATTTATTCTTAACAATGCTACGACTTGGGACATTTAATGATACCATTTATGTGCATTAGTGTTTGTCTCA